TTCTGTCATGATCCCAGGGTCTCCTGGAGACTTGCTCTCATCCTCTCAAGCCGCCAACCCCGGGGAGGTGGCAGTGACCAGCTCCCCATGGGGGCCAGACCAACCCCAGCCTGGGTGGACAGGGATCAGCCTTTGCAAGGTGCCAACCTGAGCCCAGGAGCTGGCCCCAAGCCTGTCCTGCTCCGGGGGCTCTTTCATGCTCCTGGCAAGTGTTATTTACACGGAAGTGCACACACACACGTATTACAGACACACACGCTCTCTCCCCCGACTTGAATAGTGCCATTTCCTCTCAGATAAAGAGCTCCCACCGCAGCCCCCCTTTCCCTCTCCCCCCAGATTCGTGCATGTCTCGTGCACCCATTTCGGAGCCCACCTTGGGCTCTGATATTATCTCACTTCCTCGATATGAATATTAGCTCTGTTGTTGATTTACGATAAAGGGATGGGCTCCAAAACACTGTACTTTTTGGAGAGTGGTGCAACCCTGTCTGCCGTGCCCCGGCTGAGAACAAAGCCCCGTCGAGAGCGGATGCTGGTACCCGACTCGAGAGCCCATCTCCCCCAAAGCGCGGCTCCCGTTGGCGCTGCCCTCCTGTCCCCCCCTTATCGTGTCCCCCCCCCGACACCTGCAGGTGGCAAAGTGGAAAGGGGCCCCCAGAGCAGCTCCGTGGGGTGAGGAGAGCCTGAGGGGCAGGGAGCAGCTCTGCAGGTGCCACTGACACAAAGCACGGGGGTCCCTGTGCAGGGGGGGACACTGGTGTCAGGCTCAAACACTCGGGGTACAGCGACTGGTCAAACTTCCCCTCTATTTTGCAGCATCCTAAAAGTACACCATGCAACCAAGCATCCTCTAAAATCCCTCACCAGCCCCACCTGGGCCTCCTTCTCGCTCCCTTTACAAGGTGAAAAACGACCACCTGAGCAGTGTCCTTAAATCTTAACCCACCCACCCGCCAGGGAGCAGAGGGAAGGGGAGAAGCGTCCCCGGGAAACTCGGATTTCTTTGGGAAGCAGCTTGCCTGGCAGCAGGAGAGCCGCAGAGCCAGCAGGTCGGTGCGCAGCGCTGTTCCACTCAGCTGAGGCCATCACACCACTCCATCAGCCGTCACCCCCCCGGGGGACTATTAGATATTGCTCCTATTTCGCAGACGAGAGACCGAAGAAGAAGCAGAGATAAGGGAAAATTCTGAAAAGCAGCAGCCAGAACCAGGGCTGGACACGCAGCAAAGCTCAACTCTGCTTTAGAAGCTCTGCGATGAGGCAAATCTTTCTGCAAACCTGGTCCCATATGATTTTTCCAATAAATGGGTAAAACCTGGACTAAGACACAAGCGTTGTGTCTTAATAAATGCTCATGTGTGAGTAAAATAAAGTGCCCAAACCCAAAGTGATCTCCAAAGTGGAAAGGGGCCCCCAGAGCAGCTCCGTGGGGTGAGGAGAGCCTGAGGGGCAGGGAGCAGCTCTGCAGGTGCCACTGACACAAAGCACGGGGGTCCCTGTGCAGGGGGGGACACTGGTGTCAGGCTCAAACACTCGGGGTACAGCGACTGGTCAAACTTCCCCTCTATTTTGCAGCATCCTAAAAGTACACCATGCAACCAAGCATCCTCTAAAATCCCTCACCAGCCCCACCTGGGCCTCCTTCTCGCTCCCTTTACAAGGTGAAAAACGACCACCTGAGCAGTGTCCTTAAATCTTAACCCACCCACCCGCCAGGGAGCAGAGGGAAGGGGAAAAGCGTCCCCGGAAAACTCAGATTTCTTTGGGAAGCAGCTTGCCTGGCAGCAGGAGAGCCGCAGAGCCAGCAGGTCGGTGCGCAGCGCTGTTCCACTCAGCTGAGGCCATCACACCACTCCATCAGCCGTCACCCCCCCGGGGGACTATTAGATATTGCTCCTATTTCGCAGACGAGAGACCGAAGAAGAAGCAGAGATAAGGGAAAATTCTGAAAAGCAGCAGCCAGAACCAGGGCTGGACACGCAGCAAAGCTCAACTCTGCTTTAGAAGCTCTGCGATGAGGCAAATCTTTCTGCAAACCTGGTCCCATATGATTTTTCCAATAAATGGGTAAAACCTGGACTAAGACACAAGCGTTGTGTCTTAATAAATGCTCATGTGTGAGTAAAATAAAGTGCCCAAACCCAAAGTGATCTCGTGGCTTTGTTCTACCCCAAATCCACAGAACAGAGCTGCAAATAACAATATATAACAATCTCTCTCTCTCTCTGGAGCAGAAAAACCAGTGTCGTTGCAGGAGAAGCCCGGAAAACGTTACCCCCCCTGACGCTGTGCTGGGCAGGAGCCCAGCCCAGAAACAAGTGCAGGAAAATTGGGCTTAAACACTGCAGTTTGAGGCACGGGAGGGAGAAAGAGCCATGTGGGAAGAGGGTCGACTTTTGGGCGACGGAGTTTGCTTCGGTACCTTGGGCTGAACCGCATCCAGGCTTTTTGTGCGGGGCCAGGGGGGGGAAAAGAGGGAAGGTCACCCTCCTCCTCCTCCCCACAGCCCAGGTTATGGCTGGTGGGGGGGAAGAAAAGCAGCAATAATCGCCCGATTTCAGCCAAGCAAGTCCGGCTCCTCGCACGAAGGGGCCCGCTGGTATGCGAGGCAGCGGCGCGGGGGGCGGGCGTTGCTGCTGCTAATGTGGCAGAGTTTCCCCGCTGAGGGCAGGCAAAATGCCCATGACTCATTTTTCCAAGAGATGTTACAAACAATAGTAATGATGCCCCTGGTGGGTATGAATGTGAAAAAGGCCCCGGCGGGGGGGCAGCCATGCTGGGCACCTTGTGTGTGGGCTGCCAACGGAGGGTACTGCCACCAACAAAACCTGCTGGAGCCAGTTTGGTGGCGTTGTGTGCGAGGAGAACCCGTCTGCAAGGGCTTTTGTTGGGGGGGAAAGAGGGCAAAAACGGCTGCCCTGTAAACTCCTCTCCCCATGGCACCCTCCCTGCTCACGATGGGCACCAACCCCGTCTTCAGCCAAAGAGGGGATCGGTTTTATCACCCACGGAGGAAAAAATGGCAAAAACAATCCCAAACAGCCCCATCCCCACGCCGGGATGGAAGAACAGGCCAGGAACATGAAGAGGGAAGGAATTTAGGAAAGGGTTACCGTGCTTTTAAGGCTCCTCTCCCCCAGCTCCTGCCTCCCACCCTCCACACAAGTTTTCCATATTCAGATGCTGCCCTAAGGGGACAGCTTCTAAGCCGTTTGAGTCCTTGACCTTCCACTGTTGCCTGTTTGATACTCTTATTTTTAGGCACACGAGCCTTAAACCATCCCAGCACTTGAAATAAGTTCCCAGATAATGTGCACTGAAGCACCAGGTGGCTGAGGCTTCGGGAGAAGGGAGCTCTGTGGGATCACAGAGTGTGATGGAGGTGATTTTCCCCTCGTACGGCCCACGCAGCTCCACACCCCGTCTCCCCTTGACTTATTTTAGACACTTAGAAAAGGTTACAAGCCTGAAAAAACAGCGAAGGGTGATGATAGCCCAAACTCAGCAAGTAGCCATGGGCTACACAAGGTGCCTGCTCCCGTATGTGGTGCTCCTGCCAGCACAGCCCCATGTCCTGCCCCACTGTGTCCCCCACGTCCCCCTCAGCCCCAACAAACTTGCAGTGACGCCTCTCAAGAGCTGGGAAGGGCAACCAACCTGCCTGCAGCTGGCTGGCGCCGAGCTTGAGCTTCCAGCGTGTATAAAATTTGTCCTAGAAATCCCTGCATCCCACCAAAGAACCAGGGAGAAACCGTTCCCTTCTGGAAAGGCAGGACCACTCTGCCTCCCTCCTCGGGGGGCTCTTTCACAAGCACAGAGAGTCTCATCCCGCAGAAGGACTGGGCTGGGCCAGGACAAGCAATTCCCAAGTGCAAGAGGGAAGAAAGGCAGCCTTTTTTTTTCTTCTCAGAACCACAAAGCCACAGGCAGAGAAAAGGGACAAATATTTACCCAAAGCACCTTCCAGCGCTGTTAAAAGGTGCTAACGCTTTTAAGGCAGAAAAAAAAAAAAAAAAAGAATATAAAAATCAAACACTGCAGAGCCCCACCTGGATGTGAGTGGGCTCTCATCTGCCGGGCACAAGCAGCACAATGGTCTCAGACTGAAACGCCGCGTGGAGAGAGCTTGGCTTTACGTAACCTGCGCCATCATTAGTGCAGAAACGGGTCTCAATCCCTCACTTTTTAAGAGTGAGCTCTATTTCTACAAAAAAACCAAGCATTGGGGTACGGTGAGATGGTGTCTAAACCTGCCACCGACTCGGTTTTGGGCTGCGACAGATCTCTGCGTGCCAGCAGAGGTAAGAGAACTTTCCCTGATGAACCCCCACCAGCCACGGGCACTGTGTTTCCTTGAGATGTGCAAAGGCTGCAGCGCGGAATTTGTGCTGCAACATGGCATCCCACCCCAAGAACCCAACACGGTGTCCCACCAACATGACATCCCACCCCAAGAACCCAACACAGTGTCCCACCAACACGACGTCCCACCCCAAGAACCCAACATGATGCCCCACCAACACGACGTCCCACCCCAAGAACCCAACATGATGCCCCACCAACACGACGTCCCACCCCAAGAACCCAACACGGCGTCCCACCAACACGACATCCCAACCCAACACGACGTCCTGCCGCAACAACCCAACATGATGTCTCACCCCAACAACCCAACACGACATCCCACTGCAGCAATCCACTGCAACAACCCAACACGATGTCCCACCCCAGCAACCCAACACGATGTCCCACCCCAACAATCCAGCACACTGGGGGCACCCCTCAGAGTGCCACCTCAAGGCATCTTCTTCAAAAGGAACCTTTACACACCTCCCCCCCCTACCCCACCCCCGCGTGGAGGGAAAGGAATGTGCACGTTATGGAAAAGTACAATTTCCAAAAGCCAAGGCGAGAGGCTTTGAAGGCAGCAGAAAGGCAAAGCGAAGCGACAGGAGCTTTTCTAACCCCAGAGCCCAAATTGCAAGCGCTGACTCTACCTTGCTCTTCCTCACTCGCTCAGTCAAAATCAGAACCTTCTACTCCTCATCCCCTTCTGGGGCTGGACACCCCGGTGGGGTGGGAGGTGGGGGATGAGCCAGGGAAAGGTGCTGGTCCCCCAGGAGATCCAGGCACCCCGTCTGGCCACCGCACCGCCCGAGAGCAGCCCAGTTTGCTTTCTTGCAGGTTTGTTTGGGAGCCTGTGAAGCTGCCCGAAGGCTGGAGGAACTCAATGTTCCTGCGGAGGCTGGTGGTGACACTGGGCTGGAGGGGCAGGGGGGGGCTCTGGCCGGAGCCGCAGCACCCCCTTCTGTCTGCCGTCCTCTGCTGCAGCCGGTTCTGAGTCACCCTGGCCTGGAGAAGGAAGCTCATGAGATGTCACCTTCTGGCTGCCTGCAGCTTGGAAACGTTCAGGAAGCTGGAAGGATTCGGGGTTAAAAAAATAATAATAAATAAATCAGCATGGAGATGAGTCAGCCCTGTGGTTTTGATGAGGACAGACAAGTGCTTCTTGGGAAGGCGGTTGGGCAAAGGCAGAATTGTTTGTGTGCCCTGTCTGTGTGCTGGTAATGCCCAGGAGCTCTGTTCTTGGGACCACAAGGCTCCATTGCCAGGCACTCCTCAAACAATGGGGCTGTGTTTCCTCCTGGACATCCACACGCCCCTGGATTCTCCTGCTTTCGGCAGTTTTTCAGGGCTTCCTGCCGGGGAGCTTCTCCTTTTCTTCTGCAGCTCCCCCCCCAGACATAATTACTGCCTATTTTGGTACCTTATCATGAGATGCTTGAGAGCTGATTAGCCTGGACTTCCTTCCTCCCATCATCAACCTACTCCAATATTGACGTTGGCTGGCGCTAATTCGATAATATCAAAGAGCAGAGGAGCTTTAGGAGGCATTAGGGTGTCTTCGAGTGCACAATTGGGAGCTGGCAGCAGCGCTGCTGATAAGAACGAGCCATTTCTCCTAATGTCCAGCTCTTCCCCAAAAGCAGCTGCTCACCGGCCACGTGCGGAGCGGAAGGAGGACAGACCCTTGAAGGCTCCCAGCCAGGTTTATTCACTGGCCCCAGATGAACTCGGATGCAGAACATCCCATTAAATAGTTGTTTGGGTTTTTTTTTTCGAAACACACACTATTAGTGAAAAGTTTGGGAAGAGAAATGATTGCCTCTAAGTAACTTCAAAATTACTACAAAGAGTCTGAATCTTTGTGGAGGCTCAAGGTCCTCATCTGTCTGTAACCATGGAGAGACGCAGGCAGCACTGAATCCAAAACACCCCTCATGGCAACACCTCAACATTTGACAGAGACAACCCGTTCCTGCCTTCCCAGAGAGCCTCAGCTCTTAAAATACTGTTTTATTCACAGAATCACAGAATGACATGGGGTTGGAAGGGACCTCTGGAGATCATCTGCCACCCTCAAAGTACATAAGTTTCTCCTAATGTGTAGGTGGAACTTCTTCTATTCAAGTTTGTGCCCATTTCCTCTTGTCCTGTCCCTGGGCACCACTGAAAAAAGCCCAGCCCCATCCTCCTGACACCCACCCTTTCAGTATTTATAGGTGTTGATCAGATCCCCCCTCAGCCTTCTCTACTACAGACTAAAAAGACCCAAGTCCCTCAGCCTCTCCTCATAAGGGAGATGCTCCAGGCCCCTCATCATCTTTGTAGCCCTTTGCTGGACCCTCTCCAGCAGTTCCCTGTCCTTCTGGAACTGGGGAGCCCAGAACTGGTCCCAGTGCTCCAGATGGGGCCTCCCCAGGGCAGAGCAGAGGGGCAGGATGACCTCCCTCCACCTGCTGGTCCCACTCTTCCTCATGCCCCCCAGGATGCCACTGGCCTTCTTGGCCACAAGGGCCATCCATGCCAGCTTCTGGTGCTGACTTCTTCAACTAAATGGCACCGGCAGGTTATTTCTCTGCATGGAAAGGACTTTGCAGCTTGTGAACACAAACACAAAACTACTGACCCCGTATTGTTGAAAAATAACTTTTCTATTGTTGATGTGAGAAGCAATTCAGCTCTCCTGTGGAAACTTAGAACAGCCAGATCCTCAAAGAGATAATAAAAATAACCCAACACGATAAAAACCCACCTGATACTTTCAATATTCCAACTTAGTGCCATGGTTTAAGCTGAAGACTGCCCAAAGAAGCAAGAAACTGTAGAGGTTTAATCCAAACCATCCCTGCTTCTCTGAGCTGAAGATAAAAGTTATTTTTACAAGCACACCTACCAGTGAAGTTTGGAAATGTTAAATTATTACGGCACAGCCCCATGTCCCTCAACAGAACCAGGGAAGCTCAAGGACCACAGGTGGCTTCAGTGTCCCCAGAAAGTCCATCCTGTCCACCCAACACAGATGTAACATTCCAGACACACAGATATTTATCAGAGCGCCCAGATCCGTGGTGAAAAATCACTTTGAACACATTTCTCACCCTTTTCTACTCACAGAAGGGCATGAGATGGAGAGCACGCAGATTTACGCTGACAGTTTATATGTGAAAAAAACGTTTATTTGTGGAATAAATCATGCATCGTTTCAAACTACAAAACCCCAAGGGAACTACAAAGGACTCGCACAAAGGAAGATAAGGAAGATGCAGTTTCCAACTCTGCACATCACCATAACCTCAGGCATAACCTCTCTACTCCTGCTCCCCCTAGCACCGTACGCGCTTGACTTCCATCGGTCAACGTGAAGAGCAACAAACCCTAGTTAGAAACACTTTGTAGAAGAGTGATATTGTCCCCTTTTAACATGATCCGACCTGCAACACAGAGAAAGGAAAGGGGGGATTAGAGGGATCCCAGACTCTGACGATAACCTCGCCTTTTCAGGACACATTTCACAACAGCAAAGGTGTCTGCAAGGAGACACCCACACGACAACTGAGCAGGTTTTTACCAGTAACACGTTGTCCCTTCCCATCTTACAGGACTGTGAGCACGGTCGTGCAGGGCCCACACTCACAGTGCACACTGCAACGTTATCAGACACAACCTCCACTCTGTGTTTGAACAGCACAACAGTTTATCTTCATCAGCAGACGGTAAATATCGAATCATTGAATGGTTCAGGTTGGAAGGGACTTTAAAGATCATGGAGTTCCAACCCCCCTGCCCTGGGCAGGGACACCTCCCACCACACCACGTTGCTCCAAGCCCCCTCCAACCTGCCCTTGAACCCCTCCAGGGATGGGGCAGCCACAGCTTCTCTGGGCAACCTGGGCCAGGCTCCCACCACCCTCACGATTAATCTTCAGTGGTTCCCTGGAACTTCAACTCCAAGATGACACAAGATGTGGCAGAACTGCTCAGGGCTGCCCACATTGGAGGGCTGTGAGTGGCCCCCCCAGCCACCCTGGCTGCAGGACAAGCACAGCGCAGCCCACACCTCGTCACACACATTCAAAAGGCAAAAACCAGCCTCAGGCAGAGACAGGTTCTCCTTCACGTTCAACAAAACCACCAGCTCCAGAAACAGCAGGAGCCAAGCCCCGGCCAGGAGCTGCTCACTCTACTTCAAACTCAACATTCAACACCTGTTTTGTACTTTAAAGCGTTGCTATTTGGGCACACAACCAGGTTTCAGACACCACTCGGGTCACACACACGCACTGACGTACCCAGCTGTTTCCTGGATTTTGTTTTGGAGTGAATCTCCTCCGCGTCGTCCAGCACCAGGTTCATATATTCATCAAAGCCCTGAAAATCAGCACCAAAAGCAGTCAGTGAGCTGAGTGCCCCGGTCTAAACATCACCACCAACAACACAAACTATCATCAGCTGTACTGATATCGGCTAGACAATTAATATTATTAATTGGAGAGGCATGAAGTACTTCCACCAGCACCCCCCATGCTAGTTTTTCTTGACAGGAACAAATAGGCTTGTTAATCTAAAAAAAAAACAACCATAACAACCCAAAGCCCAACACAACGAGAAGAATAACAAAGGGACACCCCGACACTCACAATGATGCAGCCTTCTATCCGCATGTTCACCTGCTCGTAGAGCCACACCTGGATCCTGGATCTCTGCAAAATGATGGAGGAGGAGAGTAAAACAGGAACATAAACACTCCGAGCCATTCTGTTCTCCCCTGTGCACTAAGAAACCCCTGCTCCCACAGCTCCCTAGCACTTGCTCGGCCTCTTCTCCCAAGGAACAGGCAATGGGACAAGAGGAAATGGCCTCAAGTTGTGCCAGGAAAGGTTCAAATTAGGTATTAGCAAAAATTTTTACACTAAAAAGGCTATTAAGCCTTGGAATGGGCTGCCCAGGGAAGTGGCTGAGGCACCATCCCTGGAGGGATTTTAAAAGAGGGGTTGACATAGTGCTGAGTGACATGGTTTAGTGATGGGCTTAGAGAGTTAGGGTGATGGTTGGACTAGATAATCTTAAACGTCCCTTCCAACCCAGAAAACTCTATGATTCTATGTTTTCAGTTGTGTCCTCAGATGTTTTGAAGGCGTTACACTACGGTGTAAATACTGTATGCCTTCATCAGTGAACATGAACAGCACAGATTTTAACGGAAAACGCACCAGATTGCAACATCAAACACCGTTACAAAGGCAATTCCTTAAAGTGAGAAGGAACCGCTCAACCTGTTCCTTCTCAGGTATCTGAGCGACTGCAACTTCCTCAGTTCAACCCAAAACCCCTCAGAAACCGGATTATGGCCTCGGAAACGCCCCGGGCCCCGCACCCGGGCCATTCCCCTCACCCAGAGCGGCCGCCCCGACCCTCCCTGATACTCACGTTCTGCAGGTAGCGGAAGATGAGGTTCTGGAGCGGCTCGTTAAGGACGGCAGCGCGGTAACAAGTCCTCGGGGCCTCCGGTGCCTCAGGGCCCTCCCCCGCCTCAGGGCCCGACCCTCCCGCCACCAGGCCCCGCACCCCACCCGCTCATCCCTCCCTCCCCGCGGCTCCCAAACGAGCTTCTGCCGCCACAGGAAGGATACGATGGGCTGCACCATCACCTTCTGCACCTTCTGGCCCTGCCCGCGGTACGCCATGGTTGCTGTTACCGGCACGCGTTCCCGTCGCCCCCGCCGCCGGAAGCCGCGGAACCGCGGCTTCCGGCAGCGGGGGCGGCGGGAACGCGCAAGGAACTGTGGGATGTTGGAGGACCCGCCGCTCTAGGAAGCTAGGAGGACCGCCGTCTCTACTGCTCCCCCCCCACCACCAAGGACAGACCAAACACTTCACCTCTGGCAGTTTTATATATTTTTTATTTCTTTAAAAACCACTTGTTAACTTGCTGACGCTTGGAACGGTTCACCTACCGGCGCGGAAGGAGGCCAGGCTACGTTTCAATACAATACCTTAAATAGAATACAAATATAAAAGGGAAGAATAAAATATTTACAGAAAGCGGGGGGGCCCAGGCCGAAAGCCCGACTCCCAAACTTTTCCTGGAGGAACTAAGACATCACAGTGGATGAGCCAAGCACACAAAAATGTTTTTTTTTTTTTCTTTCCAAAAAGAACGTATTTACAACCAAACTACTATTTTTTTTTTCCTCTGCCAGCAGCAAATGCCTGAGGGCCCACAGCTTCACGAATAGGAGGAAGATACTTCAGAGTTCCTTCGAAATAAAAATAGGAAAATAATTCAAACTATATCTGTGAGGGGATAAACAGATCACTCGGTGGCAAGGTACTCAATACAGCCCCAGTCTGGGGGGCTTTTTGTAGGGTGACAAATCCATACACACACAGACAGCCGTCACCTCTACCCGCAGCGCTGGGACAGAAGAGACCGAGGTGAGAATCCCTGGGAAATGGCCCCAAAAAAATCAAAGGGCAGGGGGGTTGGTCCTGCTGAGGCACCGGGTTCTGAGATGGGTGGCCCCGGGGCACACACTCCCCCCTGGGTGGGTGCCAAAGGGACAAAGAGGATTCTGAGCACCCACCACTTCCCAGCAGCTCAGGGGAGAGATTCTGGGAACCGAGAGGCACTTTTAAGCCAATTCTTACTTTAACCAATTTACTGCAGACACGGGGAGGAATCCCGAGTACCTCCCACCAGCCCTCTCTCTCTCCCCCTCTCCCCCAAAGCTTTGGGAGGGGATATTCCAGCTATTCCAGCTGTGCTCTCCAGCTGCTGCTTCTCACAAACACAGGAGCGTCCCTGATAATTCAAAGTAAGGGCTGACCCCCCCCGCCAGCCCCGCAGCACGTTTGGTCCAAGATACTTGAGAGAAATTACCCTGCTCCCTCCCGCCCCCCAGGCTTTTTCATTAAGTTGATTAAAAGTCAAAACGATAGCGTACAGAAACCAAACTCAAGAGTTGACATAGTAACTCCGGGCTTTAGGTATCGACTGTCCGAGGAATCAGACCAGCAAAGGTTGGAAACGCGCTGGAAGGTTGAGTTGTGCCAAGATGGGGCTGGGAGGAAGGAAGAAGCTTTTAAGTTTACGCCTTCAGAGCATCAGAGAATCAGTAGAGCAGGTCACAACCAGCACAGTTTACAGATGGGCACGTCTCTGTCCCCCAAAAAAACAAGTGCTTTGTCCTCTGAATGCGGAAGGCGGCCGCCGACGGGCAGGGAAGGGACTCTGACCAGCAGGGACATCGAGGACAACCAAGTGCAGGTATTGCCAATTTCTACCAGTTCAACTGTGCTTTAAAACTCAATGCAAAGCCTCAGCTAGAAAAAGGATCACCTCCGGGTATCCAACAAAAGACAGTTTTAATATTGGGGGGGGAGGGTTGTTTTGGGTTTGTTTGGTGTTTTTTTTTTTTTAAACCTCGAAGAGTGTGCAGTTCAGCTGTCAATCATTTTTGAAAGTTCCAGGAGGAGATCATCCTCATCCTTCCCTGGGTCCAGGTCGATTTCTGCTTCCAGTTTGCCTCCTGAGATTTCCCAAATAAGCTTCTCAAAGTCATCTTCTACAGATAAGGGAGCTTTCCCAGCCCCTGTGGAGCTCAGCCGACGTGTCTTCGCCGCTACCGAAGAAGGTGAAGTTGAGCTTGAGACCTCTGACTGCCCCACGGAGTCCACCTGGCTCCCCATATGCAGCTCAGGGCTTGGAGGAAGAGAAACAGAGAGAACAAATCAGTGTTTGAATCAAGGCCATGAAGATGATCCAAGGGCTGGAGCCCCTCTGCTGGGAGGACAGGCTGAGAGAGTTGGGGGGGTTCAGCCTGGAGAAGAGAAGGCTCCGGGGAGACCTTAGAGCCCCTTCCAGTCCCTAAAGGGGCTCCAGGAGAGATGGGGAGGGACTCTGGTTTGACCCTGAAAGAGGGGAGATGGAGCTGAGATGTGGGGAAGAACTTTCATTTGCCATTTCAGAAGAAAGAGGCTGTTTTCCACCCTGACCCATCTCCAGCTTCACCCCATCTGCGCTCAGGCATTCAGAACACCCAAGAAGTCACTGAAGAACTGTACCAACTCGCAGTGTTTTAAGAAAAGAATCTAAATAAGCATTACTGCAAGCTGCTAGGAAATGATTTCAGATTAATTGTTCCTTTGTTGAATTTTGGAATGAATTATCTCAAAACTCTCATTTTTCCACATGTGAAAAAAAACTTCTGTTTCGTGTGAAAGACACATCGATCAAGAAAAAGAACAAGTTGTGGTTATTACCTGGTTTGGGGTTTTTCTCTCCCGGGTATGGAGACCAGGCTGTCCTCAGGCAATGCAGGAACAACGGCCTAGGAAGAAGCAAGATGTTTTTTATGATACACAGGTAAAAGACTTCTTAGTTAATTCTTCCTCCACTGCTTCTCCTCTGGCATTGCTGAGCCATAACCAGGACACTCCTATGAAAAGTTAGTATTCACTTGAAGCTTACTAATGACCCTGTGACTTTGTTAAGAACACAGCATTAACGGACAAAATCCTTCACACCACAGAGAAATTACAGCAGAGTATTATGTAAACGCTGCCGTTCATCTAATAAGAAGCAGAAAGGTTCTACCACCACCCTGCAAACTGTTTCTCGATTTAAAAGGGAACAGAGACCTGTGGAACATTTTGTTATTCCATCTTTTGTCCAAGCGGAGGGTAAAACTCGGGCATAAATTCTACTCAGGACCCGCCACTCCCTCAGGCACTGTCCTTACCACAGCTGCTTTTTTAGCTGAAGGCTCCTTCATGTCACCACCAGTGGCACTCAATGGTTTCACAGCCGCCACAGCAGAGGGATGACTCTCCGCTGACTTACGCTTCAGCGCCTGTTTCATCGGGGAGGTGCCTTTCCCATCCGAAGGCTTCAGGCACAGCTTGGGTTTGGCTGGAGAAAAAGGAAGAGAGAACAGATACAGCCTTGCTCTGCCTCAGGAAAAAAAACCAAAAACATCATAGGTTCTCTTCACAGTCCCATAATCCTTCTAGTTAAACAGAATCGCAGAATGGTTTGGGTTGGAAGGGACCTTAAAGCCCCCCCAGTGCCACCCCCTGCCCTGGGCAGGGACACCTCCCACCAGCCCAGGTTGCTCCAAGCCCCCTCCAACCTGGCCTTGAACCCCTCCAGGGATGGGGCAGCCACAGCTTCTCGGGGCAACCTGGGCCAGGCTCTCACCACCCTCACACCAAACAAGTTCTTCCCCACATCTCAGCTCCATCTCCCCTCTTTCAGTTTAAAACCATTTCCCCTCGTCCTATGGCTATAAATGTATCTGGGCAGCACAACTGCACTGCTTTTTCCTAGATTCTCAGCCATATTTTCCACACAGGAACTCTGTTTACCAACAAGCCATAAAAAAAGAGCAAAAATCTTAAAAAAAAAGGAGTCAGAGTTACAATGTGAAAATTGTCATTTTCTGCCGAGCAAAAATCTTAAAAAGAAAAGTCAGTTACAATGTGAAAATTGTCATTTTCTGCCTTTTTTTCAAAACAGGACCTAACGTAACTCTTCAACATACAGTCACCACTTACTTTCAGTTTTCCTTTCCAGAAGCGGAGCTGTCTGTTTCCCTAGTGATACAGCAGCATCCTTTCCAGGGCTTTCAACCCCACCTTCTGGTGATTTCACCGATATCCTCTTGGCAAGTTGATAAGGTGACCCTGAAACCACGGTGGATTCAGGACCCCCTGATGCTGGAGTTTTATCCTTGACCACTTTTTCCACAAGAGAGGGCACAGCAGCTGCTTCCTTCTGAAGCTTCTCTTCTTGGCGCCGTTTCAGTTGCCGCTTCTCCCTCATCATTTCTTCAAGGTTCTTCACTTGAACTTTAGAATTAGTTGCACTCTGATCAGAGGGCTAGGGAGAAATAGAAGAGGAGGATTAATAGCACAAAAATCTATGGAGATTTCATTAAGAAAATGTGAGCAGCAATCCCTCCGAAATGTGGAACATGAAGAGCACATTAATACCACTCAGATCTGACATTTTTTTCCCCCATAAAACGAAACATGAAGAACATGTGGAACAGAGCACATTAATACCACTCAGATCTGACATTTTTTTCCCCCATAAAACGTTGCCTGTAACAAGATCCATGCTTTGCTATGGAAATACTGTTTCAAAAGCCTGCAATTCCCAACACAGCAAGCTGCTTTAACAGAGCAGAAGACTCTGGCTGTAATCTATTACATCCCTTTTAAGCAATGGAAAATCAGACAAGTTCCCCAGTACAGCACTCATGGACAGACTGGTTTCCTCTAAGACAAACTACTGGCCTTTTCTATTAAAATACTCAGCTCAGGACTTAAAGATATCATCCAAGTCTGACGTGAAGTCACTGAGATTAAAAACATTCTCTCCACATTAACCCCACAGATTTTACCTGGTGCTACAAGGGTTTCTTAGTCATTGTCAGGTATAATCACATTAATTCAAACTCGAGGATCACAACGTTGTCTGGAAATGCTACTGAAAGGGACAGGGCTTTAGGACTTCACTGCGGCACTTACCAAACGCAGGAAGGTAGGAACACACTCAAACTGGGAGCATGCAGTGAGTTACAAACAAAGCTTAATGAAATTTATCAAAATTTGTATGAATATATGTGTGTCTTCACAAGGGGCTCACCTCCGCAGGTGCAGAGACAGCTTTGGGAGAAGATTTGTTCAATTCCACTATCTTCTTTTCTTCTCTTCCAGGTGCTTTAAAACAAATAAAAAAAAAAAATAGTCATTTTGTCAACAGCAGGAATAAAGAAACCTGGTCAGCTCTGTTTCCTTGGTGTGTTTACTTCCTCATGTCTATAATGGGACAGAGGGAAAGGCTACAGTAAGCAATCCAGGCAGCATTGGAGCTCTCTCCCTCCATCCCACTGTCTCTCTTTACATGGCCCATATAAACTTAATGATGAGATCTTTAATGCTCAGTCATTTTTGACAAAACCTGCCCCCCCATTAAGAAGTTGATATATGCTTTGCAAACACCTATACATCAATAACCAGGTTGAACAATCCTTATGCCAAAGAGGAAGGTTAACTTGGAATCAGCACAGGGAAGATCCCCTTTCACAGACAGATGGCAGAAAAAACAGAAGAGAGAAATGAGACTACAAAGCTCCTCAATGAATGAATCTTCCGGTGGAAAATAGAGAAAACTGTCATTCATGGAAAAGAATACGGTTGCACATTCTGGCACTTTCTTGCCTTTTCACTTTGCAGCCTTAAACCCTTTTATCCTCTCCTCTAGCACACATAGAAGGAAAAAGCAAGCAAACCCCAAGCAAACTGAATTTGCTTGGCAGGGGAAGCACTTCAGCAGGGCAGGTACCGAATCATCTCTCACCTGTCAGCTTTGTGATCCGTAACAGCCTCCTCCCCGGCGGGGCAGGTTCGGGTTGTGCTGGTGGAGCTGGCACATTTTCTCTGCTCTGCTGCATCCGCAGAGCTTTCTCCTGCTTGATTTCTTCCAAGGTTTTAATACGCACTTCTGCTGGCTTGGCTTTCCCTGCCGGCTCCGCCAGCTGCACTTTGCAGGGCACAGACGGAGCAAGAAAGCTCTGCTTCTTGGGCTCACTCTCCACTTTTTTCTTGGCAGGAACCTCTTCTGGTTTTTGCTTCTCTTCTTCCAATCGTTTGTGTTTTTTTCCAGCCAGGACTCCTGAGAAAGTTTTGATACGAACTGCAGGGGAAGGTCTTGCTCCTGAGCTGGGATCTTCTGGTTTAGAGCGTCCTTCGGTCTGGGGTTTGGCTTGAGGGTCTCCTCGTCTCTGATGAGCTCTCTCAAGGCGAATTTCCTCCAGTGTCTTCACGCGGATCTCTCCTGATGGCTTAGCAGCCTTCTCTGTCATCATCAAAGAAAAGAGAAGCACCAACATTTAAGGAGAGTCCAACAGTATCAAAAGTCTCCAAAATCTGTCATAGGGCTAAGGAAAACTAGGTTTGAGTGTTCCCAAGAATGCATCTTTGGCTAGTATCATTCTGCATAATATGCTCCATCTCCTCTAAGCCGCCTGGATTTTGAACCATTGCGAGCCACTGGGACAGTCTCAGGACTCAAGCAACAGGAATCAGGTAGGTTTTTTAAATTAACTTTCAGGGCTATATGGAATTTCACAGTAGGATAAAAGGGAGAGCCATATTTAATATCCAGTTATTACCTGTCTCTGTACTGGTCTGCTCAGAGGGCAATCCCAGCCTCTCCTTCAGAGACTTGGGGACTTGAACTGCAAGATAGAACAGAAAAAATTTAGAAGACCACATAAATCTCTATTTTGTGTTCACGTTTCGAAATGAGACGGGATTCTTCACTGGGATTCAAAGTTACCTTCAGCCCTCAACCAACATGCAAAAAAGAACCATTAAAAGAAAGGACAAACAGAAAACCTAAACAGAAAATTTGTGCATCAAATGCAGGTGTCTGTTTAGGAGCTGTACCTCTCTTTGGTGCTTTGTCAGCATTCTCCAGAGTCTCTATCTTCTTTCCCAGCCTCTCAGCAAGGTTGCGCTTTAGCGGAAGGACACTTTTACCAGCTTTAGAGAGAAAATAAGAAATAATTTAAGACCATTCCTCCGGAAGAGGATTTAAGAACAGTCACCCACAAACTTCAACCCTTCCAGGTATATTTTCTTATATCTGTCTTTCAGTTGCTAACAAAGTTTGCCATTTCTGCAGTCAATACAGACCTCCACCAACAAGTATTTTCCTCCTCATACAGCAAAAATACCCTTAAATATAGTCATGTTTAAAAGAGGGCACCCAAATAGCTCATAAAGAGCTCTTACCCATGGAGGTTTGCCGTTTACCCAGTCTCTCTGCAAGATTCAGTTGAATCACAGGCTCCTCCCCTAAAACAAAGAATAACCTCTTTAGTGCACAGAAACCAGTAGCCAGTAAAACATTGTCCTTCTAGCCCATGTCCCAAAAAGAACATTCTTTTGGTAGCCAAACCACATAAACGAATGACTACGAGTAGAGGTAGTTCTATACACTTTTTGCCTTAAAAAGGAATTTGTGCAGATCTAAACACAGCCATTTATAGACAGACTTATATCACACTACTGTCTGCAACTCCCACTGTCAGCCTCTTCTACGCTTCAAAAATTGGTTCCTTGTATAATACCATCTTCTATAGGTTTTAACTTTAATTATCCTCCTCTTTTTCAGTTGTCCCCTATTTGGATACTGACACTTGTTTTGACATCAGCCTCTCTCTGCTAGCACACTCTTTTGGTAGCCAAACCACATAAAAGAATGACTACAAGTAGAGGTAGTTCTATACACTTTTTGCCTTAAAAAGGAATTTGTGCAGATCTAAACACAGCCATTTATAGACAGACTTATATCACACTACTGTCTGCAACTCCCACTGTCAGCCTCTTCTACGCTTCAAAAATTGGTTCCTTGTATAATACCATCTTCTATAGGTTTTAACTTTAATTATCCTCCTCTTTTTCAGTTGTCCCCTATTTGGATACTGACACTTGTTTTGACATTAGCCTCTCTCTGCTGCTACTGCACTTAACCCAACCACTGATTCTGTCACACGCTGTCAACACCTGAGCTCATTCACAAACCTCACTCAACTTCAGGAACACAGAAAGTCAAATTAAACACATTTGAGAGTCTGTGGGATGGTGATAATGTATGTTTAGCTATGGCTTAATGTTGGGCTGACAAAACACACCTCTTGATCTTTTATTGCAATACAACAAACTCAGCACCTACCAATGACATTTTTTTTCCCAGTAGGACCAGGCACTTTATGCATAAAAGCATGGTTTTAATTAGAAAAGGCCTTGCAATACAACAAACTCAGCACCTACAAATGACAATTTTTTCCAGTAGGACCAGGCACTTTAAGCATAAAAGCATGGTTTTAATTAGAAAAGGCAGCACATTTGGATTATCTTAATAATTACTTAACCTTTAGGTCTAGGAGCCATGAAATGGAAACAACAGCATTCACTGTTACCTTGCTTGGTAGACAGAGTCACAGTTCTCACTACGGTCCGTACATTTTCCTTTTCTGGCACAGGAACGGTCCGGGATTGGAGCGGATGAACAGAGGCTCCTGAAGGACCTTCTAATAAAAGGAAGCAAAACAAAGATGTTTAGGGCAAAACCCCAACTTAATCAAACAAAAAACTATCAAGACCAAAACCATTAGGTACAAGGATGTTTAGGAAAAAAACCCAACTAAATCAAACAAAAAAACTATCAAGACCAAAACCATTAGGTACTCATTACTGTCAAACATGCAAATGAGAGATGAGCACTGTCCCCTGATGTGCTTTTAGAATTCCAACATAAACACCACTGTTTAGGAAAAGAGGTTACACATCAAAGTAGCTCAAGGCCCCCACCTAACCAAGGAAATCTATCCCTCAAGCAGCTCTCAGCTGAAATCATCTCCCAATCTGAACTCAACAGCGCCAAAGAAATTTCCCCTCTTTTGCAAATAATTCTATTCACCAGTGCACAGCCAGCTATGCAGGTAATAGCAGAATTTAAAAAGAAAAAAGGACCAAGTTGAACAGAAGGCACTAGGGTTAGAAAGTGCGGGATATTAACTCACCACCTTGTTTTTTTGTTTTTTCCTTTAGTTTCTTCAATTTGATTTCTTCAAGTGTTTTTATTCCGAAATTTAAATTGTCATCTGAAAACACAGAAGGGTTCATGAAGCTGAGGCTTAAAGGCACACGTTGAAGAGCACAGATCCTCACGCTTCTTACAGCTTAGAATGTTTCCAAAGTATTTCGAATAAAGCCTGTCAGCACTCCCCACAAGTAAAAAAAGCCATAGAACGGATGGTATTTTGGTAAGCAACTGGCACCTTTCCTCACCCCTCCTCCCATCCTACAGGGTAAAACCTGTAGTTTTAAGCATTTTAATCCATCTACATGATAGCAGATTCCTCTGTCATTAGACAAGGCTTTCCACAGTTTGAAAGGACACATCTACAGACATTTGAACTCCACTCTGTGGCTCTGTTTTGCTCTAGAAAAGTAAAAAAAGAGGAGTTTATCTGTCTGATCCAAGGGACACGTGACATAATTAGATAGGAATGAGGTCATGGAAATAACTGACTGCATCCAGCCACCCTATGTTGTATTGTGTTTTTAGAACATACTGCTTTTGAGTTAATTGTCAAATTCTCCTTCCAATCCACCCAACCACAGCTGTTACAATACCTGGCTTTGTATTAGCATTGGATTTCCTAGTGGAAATTATCCGCAATCCATTATGGGCTTCTGTCGCCGGTTGCTGGACGGGTGTTTTAGTTTCATCTCCTTCTTCAGAAAGCTGGTCTGAAAGGCAAAAATAAACCTATTCAGTTTACAGTTAGGCAGCAGGGATTAGACAAGATTTTTCATGTTTATGTAGCTCATACAATAACATGTATTTCAGTTTATAGAAGGATTTTTTAAACAGCTATATTGACTTGATGAACGCGTGTCAGTAGAAGATCTATAGTAGGAAAAAATATTTAGGACTCCAGACTCTTGTTTGTAGCTTTAACCACCACACAGTTCATGTATTCTCTGACTTACACCTTCACTTACAGTAGGAACGCCCTCAATAAGTAAAGAATGCTCACCATCATCATCTTCATCATCATCCGCAGCGTTGATTACAACCGGAGGATGTGTAGGACTTGGGACATTTTCAGAGTTTTCCACTTTCATCACCCCCCTCAGCTGTGGAGAGGGATTGGACTGGACAGAAAGTTTGTTTTGCTGCAGTGACATCTGAGTCATTTTCCCATCGTCTTCCGCAGACTCGGGTGGACTCGGCAGCGTAGCTGGAGGAAGAGGAGGATCATCTGTGATTTGGCCATTTAAAAGCTTGACCCCAATGTTGCACTCACTACGTAGATATGGTAGAAGAGGTACATAACCCACCTGACTGCTGAATTTAGAGTTTCCCATTCCCCACCCTTGGTTACACTATGACCAATGGCTTCCCTTCACACACAAATCTCACCACCCAGAAAGGATTAAATGAGGAGAAATCAGACTGAAAGGCAAAGATCACACAAAGCACAGAGAGGCAGCATGTTAAAATAAAAATTAAATACCAGAACTACATTCAGTTAAGCTGAGAGTCTATGACTGCAGACTTCTCCCTGCACTCATAAATTAACTTGATGTCTTCTGCAGTACTGTACCCACTCCCAAGTAATATTCAAAATTAATTCTTTAATACTTCAAGAAAAAGGACCTAAGAAACTCACTTTTGCTCGGCGGTAAGAAGAGTCCATCGACATAACGTCCTTTTGTGTGATGAAAAGCACAGTTGGATTTCTGACACCCCACGGGCTGGTTCTCCCAGTAGCAAGGAATCTCACTGCGCTTTTTCTGAAGGCAGAAAAAAACCAAAACTCATGGCAATGCTCATCTTAGATTTGCAAAGAGACATAGTTCCACATCATGCCAGAGACAGGGCTACTGCAGTGCAGTGCTGAAACGTCATCCCAAAGGTCAATTTATCATGGAAATAAAGTATTTCAGGGCATGTACACAAAGTTTGTGTAAGCAGTAACAACTACATATTATCTAGCTTTGATCTCTCTCAGGTTGAGAAGATGGCACTCTCACTCATCAGTTCAGAGTGTGTTAAACTAATTTGGAATTATTCAGAGAGAGAAAAAATGTTTCAAATTGCCTAGGTGGTGTATTAAACTAATTTGAAATTATTCAGAGAGAAAAAATGTTTCAAATTGCCTAGGTTAAATTTATCTGAACTTAGCTTTCAGAGCCTTAGTTCCCTCCCATCTTCTCTCTCCCCACCCTGTACCACCCCAAGGGGTCAGAACAAGGTTATCTGAAGAAATCCAGGGCGGAAGAGACGCGACGGGCTGATATCGAGCCCAGCCCTCAGGAGCCTAGAGCAGGCTGTTCCCTACCACCCTGCTCCAGCACATCTCAGCAGTCCCATCAATGATGCTTTTTCCTCTCTTAAGAAAATAATGTCAGCACCTAATACAAAAATTTCTTGCCAAGATGTACCCAAGACATTGATTTTTCTTCCCCCAACTTCCTCCCATTTCCCTCTCCGTAACAGAAGCCAGCATCATTTTAAAGCAAGGAAATCTATCACATAAAAGCACATTCAGTCCACCTACAGCAACAAAAAATGCTTTCAGTTGAGGACACATCTTTAGAGAAACACTCACATCGATTTCCATGTGTCTGAATCTGCAGATATTCCTGAAACAGCGACCCTCCTGCCACAGTGTGCAGACTGTTTCATTCCCCAGAGCAGCTTCACAGTGGCGGAAGGAACAGCTGTCTCCCTGTCACCAAAAAGAAATGAACAAAAAGGAAAATAAATTAGGATAGCCTAAAAAAAAAGTCCATGCTATTCGAGCTGGAGTCAGAATTTAACTGCTTGTTAAGTCACTGGAAACCTGTATGTCTCCTCCCATTCTTCCCCCTCCTCTCTGAAAAACTAAAAAGTAAAAAAAGCAAAGAGAAACCCAAACATACCTTGTTACACGTGGAATAGAAATAGAAGTAGCAATCATCTCCTTGGTTGGACATAATGGACAAATTCTTAGAACAAGCTCAGGTCAGAAGTGTTTGCTCAACAGGGACTTCCTCCACTCTTGGCAAGAGCTCACTTCACTCTTTCTTGGACTGAAAGTCTTCTACTGGCTTGATCAGTGAAATCTTCTTTTTAAAAGTAACCCTAAAGAAAGGTATCAATAAAAAGTAATTAAGTAATAATCATTTTCACAGCTGCTTTATGTTAATCAAATTAGTCTCTTGAGGGGGACAATGTCTTAAAATTAGCTGGTCACAAAAACTGCCCCAATACTGACTCAAACTTCTGTAAAACAGCATGCATTTTGTAAGCAAACGTTCTTTTCTGTGTCCTTACTAATACTTACATGCCTTAGAGCACAGAAAATAAACCTATTGCATGTGTCTGTAAGCCCAATTTTTTCTTAAAATAACAGGTCATACATTTGAATTATCAGTCAATGCTTAGAAGGGCAATGGAGCTAGTGAGGGGTCAGGAGAACATACCTGGACAACTTCAGCAAAGATACTGATCTTCAAAGACTTCCAGTTAACTTCTCCTGTAGGCCGAACCAACACTGAATCCGTGAATTAATAATAAAGGGGTAGAAAGAATTTTCCTTCTCACATTGCCAAGGGAACCTCTCATCCACAATTCAAACATGGGATGTGCTTTTAAACATCTTACAACTAATGGAGGAAGCAAGTCCATTTGAATACTGTCAGACTGGAGACAGCCAGGGTTAGTTAGCTCTTCAAAAAAAAAGGAAAAAACCAAAAAAACCAACAAAAAACCCAGTGCATTTAAAGATGAACTTGGGATTCAAAGTGGCTGCAAAAATGAGGATCCATCTTCCACAGCCGGACAATTTTTTTCTAATTTTTTTTTTTTTTTTAATTTAAAATTCAATAAGTTGCAATTTCTGGTCTTCAAGATTTCTTCACCTATTAAGAAAACAGAAAAACCTTCCCCCATCTTTATTACCTGTACAATAAAAACATACTCGTGTGTATAAATACACAAATATGTATAGACATACACATATGTGTTTATACACACACCAAGAGCGAGTGATAATAAAGTCAGCATGAGTGGTAGTAAAAATTAGAATATTTGGCCATTTGCCACATTAAGACTGAATAAAAAGTTTCTAATTTTGAGGGAACTGGTAAAAATGAACGATCTACATAATATTTTGATGAATATGCCTTCAAGGCTTTAGAACACGAGTGATTTTGGGGCCAGCACACAAATATGCATACGTCTGTACATGCATACAGTATGAACATATCTATACACACACACGTGCACAGTGTATGTTGTATGAATCTGTACCCAGAACAACTTTTAGCCCTGATCAGACACGTGGAGTTGCAATCAATTAAGAGCAGGAAGACAGCAGATCAAGGATACAGCAAGCTTTGAGAGGCAGGGAAATGCTCACTTTGCAAGCGGCATGGCTGCATGATACCAATAATTTTGAATTATTTTGATTTGAGGAAAGAATTTGTTTTCTTTTTCCAGGAGTGTGCCATCACGTGCTGTTCCCTAATCCATGTATCCATCATCATCCACTGCTGCAAGATCACAGAGAGTTTGGGAAGATGGCTTAGGTCCAATTCAACAGCTGAGGATTTTTTTGGTGCCACCAGAGCTGAAACCAATTTCATTTAGCTGGAAGCAGTTGTTTTTTTTTTTTTTTTTTTTTTTTTTGATGTGGTCAGATACTTTGATTCTTATTTTTTTTAAAGATACTTAAATGCCATAAAACCTGCAACCAGACCAGAAAAAAGTTGAAATTAAAGTGATTCTGACCCCTTATCTTTAAAATGCTGCACATTTCTGTGCTAAGTATTTCCGACTCTTCTGGACGTTTTTTTTTTTTTTTTTTTTTTTTTTGATGTGGTCAGATACTTTCTTATTTTTTTTAAAGATACATAAATGCCATAAAACCTGCAACCAGACCAGAAAAAGTTGAAATTGAAGTGATTCTGACCCCTTTCTTTAAAATGCTGCACATTTCTGTGCTAAGTATTTCCGACTCTTCTGGACAAAACTGAATGAAAAAGTTCTTACAAATTAATAATAAAAGGTTGGAACCTTTTACTCACACAAACACTAGTGAATTTTCCAGGATATTTTTTTTTGGCAGGGAATTTTCCCAAATCTAAAATAAAGAGAGGAAAAGTTGGGTTTTTGTATTAGTTACTGGTTTTTGACTGCTTGACAAAGGGAATAAAAACAGGAGTTAAGGGCAAGGTTTTCTTCCCTTCTTCGGTATTAATGGGACTATTCACTTTTGACCTTTAGCACCTTCAAAACCAGACTTTGGGTCACACAGATTCCTATGCATCTACTTCTAAAAATTCCTGGTGCTCTTTCATGTAGAAGTTTGGTAAGAAAAATTTTTCCAAAACGTGTCACCAAGTTAAATTTCACTGACAGTTAAATTTCAAGTACATTTCTTTAGTTTGCACAAGCCAAGACTTAAACAGATGGCAATTAAGGACCACTGCTTGGCTGAGCAGGGGCATTCAAACACAAATCAGAAGGAATTCATGCTCTAGAAGGCGGCGTTTCTTTTCCCTAGGAAGTGAGAGACCCCTGTATAATGCAACGTTACTATATCCACCAGAACTGGGGAAAAAAAAAAGAAAAAAAGAAACCCCCTCAGATTTAGCTGGTTTGAACACCCAGGCAGCTCAGCATTTTGGTTGTTGCCTTCCATATTCCTGAGCAGGCTTCAAGAGCTGCTCAGAATTTGAATGGATCTTATTTAAGGAATGGGCAAAAAAGCAAAACTTTAAAATAAACAAAAAAAAACCCACAAAAAACCCCCTAAAAAACCTTCAAAGTTCCAAACTCCTTAAAAGTCTCTTCATTTTTAAAAATATTAACTCAAAAATAGTTGTGGTTTTTTTTTTTAAACTGGTATCAGTTAACATGGCAATCTGAGTGCTGAACAGACATCAACTGAACTAACCCCTGAAAGCCTGAATAAAAATGAGTAACTCTGGTGCACTCAGCAGGTCTCCAGTGGAAGTTGATGAGAATTTTAAACACTTTTCTTTTCTCCAGAACGCTAGTAAAGTTTTTTACTGAGATTTTGGAATTCATTTCGTAAAAAAAAAAAAAAAAAAAAGAAAAAAAAAATGACAGATGTAGCAGGTAGGAGTCAGGAAAAACAAGCCACAAGTGCCATAAATTTTATCTTTGCTAGAAAAGATAAATAGTGTAATGAAAGTCTGTCTAGTTTATTTTACAAGCTTGTCTTTCTTGGTACTGAAGGAGCCCTGTTCCCTGGTCCATTTTTCCAGCTTCCTCATCTGCTACCAAAGAGCAAGAAGGGAACCCCAACAAATGCACAAGAGAAGTGTTACTGCATCTACCCAGGGGTACTCGCTGGCCTACTTTGTGTCTTTTCTTACAAAAATATTAAAGATGTTTTGACACCCCTGTTTATCAGTAGAGGGAGATGACAGGGAAGGAAGAGCAGCAGGAACTACATGTTCTAACCCCCTGTTTCAATCGGTCAGTGTCACCCCAGAGGTAAAATAGCTGCTGCTGATTTACCTGCTCCTGTCCTCCACGGGCTGAGAGCACAGTGTGTGTGGGTGTGTGCTGGTGCGTGCTGGTGTGCTGTGTGTCACAATCTGGAACAGTGTGTTAGAACACGCACATCACACACCTTCACCTCGTCTGAAGCACAGAACAGCCTCTCACTAACACATCTCATTCTAAATCTAAAGCTAAGTTGTCCCAAACTGGAGCAAAAGTCTCAATTTCTACTCTTCGCATTTGTTTAGTCAATTCTAGCTGTTAAATACTGTCTAAACATGGACTGGGGGCAAGTTCTGTGACTGAGGGTTACAGCAACCAAGACCCTCTGAGAGCAAAGACCACAAGGTTGCTGGCCAAGAAGGCAAAGGTTGAAGCAGATGATCGTCTCAGCTTCCTCTGCCACTGAGCTGGAGTCACATTTCACGGTGATCTCTGAAGGCCAGAGCCCTGAGTTACCAGCCTCGACAGCTGGATCGACTCTATTTGAAGATGTGCCACTTCAAGAACTTAAATTACAATGTTCTTCCTTGAAATGAGAAGCAAATCCATCTGTTCCTGAAAGGGCTGATTGGCCTGGTGTTTCTGGAACTGTCAAAAAATAACCCTGAACTGAAGCACTCATCAGATCAGACACCACTTCAGTACAGATCTGTCTTGAGCTTGACACATCAAGAGGCACCAGAAGGAATTCTTCAAAGCAACCTTTACAGCAGGGATCCAGTAAAGTGGCCAAGACAAAACGTTCAGATCCCAGCACAGCACTCCTTAGAAAACCAGTTTCAAGGCTAGGATATATCACCCACCTCTCAGTCCAAGGGCGACACTGACACCTTTGATTTCAAAGTCTTTCAGTGAGCTCTGAAAAGCCAGAAAGAGGTGACCGATGGCAGCACTTGACTTAGAACTGCAGTTCCCCACTGGCCTTCACCTGCAGGCCAAGAATCTTGTGCCCATCAGACATCTGGGACCACTGGAATGAGCCGAGAATAGCCCCATTCTCCCGAAGTCGCTCCACCTTCTGCTGTTTTAAAGCTACTTTAACATATAAAAGGTAGAGACAGGGTCACTGAGCAGCTATTTCCTGCTTCCAGTGATCCTGTGGAAGGTGGTTTGAAAGCTGTTTGAGTTCCTGAAAATTTATGGGCCTCAGCAGTATGAATAAGCAAGTCTCTTAAGCAACTGCTAACCTGTTCTCAGTGCTCCTCTGCTCAAAGTCCTGAATCATTAATTTTACAATATAAGCAAAACATGGCAGCTGGCACCTAGTGCTGTGTCGGCAGCGTCGTCCAAAGCTGGAAAGGCAGGGGTGAGGGGATTAAGGGAAAGCCACACATCAATTTGGTAACTTGGGTGCCATGGTTAAAGGTCCACACGTCAACAGTTAAATGCGTATTTTTGTGTTGCGCTTTCTCCAAAGCCACAAAAAAACAGTTCTCCAACAGTGGTGTACAGTCCCATCCTACAGATGGAAACTGACTGCCTCACAATCTGTATGAACTTCTAATAAGTTGGCCTGGAAAAAAAGTGTCTTCAGTAATAAATAACAGATAAACAGATCTATTATAAAGTTGAAGTGCATTGATATCCGAGTTCTTTCACTGCAGCACGTGGTTAAGAGTCCCATGGGTAAGATTCATGTCCTTTCTCCTACCAACACCTGCTCAGCAGGCAAAGACAAGAAGAGGAACACCCAATCTTGGAAACATTAGGCTGTCTCCAAGCCTATCTGGTGAAAAGAAATAGCTCAATACATCACCTTCATGGGGCAAAAATTCATGTGGAACAGTAGAAAAATGCAGAAGGGCTTCCCAAGCCTCAGGTTACCAACAGCACCATCCCATTTAGGTCCTGGCCCAGCGTGCAGGGTGTGTGATCAGGAAGCGTTGCTGCAATGTGGAAGAGCCAAGGAGAGTCCCTGTCCTGCCTGACACACTTCTTAAATGTTGCAGGGAGTGTGTCATGTATAATGAAAAGTTCCAGACAACAGATGTGTGTCTCCTCACTTCTGGCATCAAAAGGTTTTTGACAGCGTCGCTTCCATGAAGAAAAATCCCTTTATCTTCTCCAGATGCTCCATGATCCACTTTTGCTGCAGCTGCAACGGCCACACTGATACGATCCACATCTACTGCAAATCTCTGACAGCTCTCATTTACCCAGGGACATTCGCAGTCAACTCCTTCTCCTCTTCCAGCTGAAATCCAGCTTGGTGGGTCTGCCACACCGTCACTGCTGACCTGAGAGCTGGGGATGTACCTCAAACTCCCACTGCTGAACCCTCCGTCAGGAGCCCTGCAGCACTTAGAGCTGTGACCCCGGCTGCACAGCCCAACAATGCTCTGCTTGGAGATGTCACCAAAGAGTCAGTGTCCCCAGATGAGTACCTGCCTCGCCACAGCTGATTTTTCAGAAGTCTTTGCTCTTCTTCCAGGCAACAGCACACACTTGAACACACTGCATCCAGTGAGGAAGCTCCTTCCGTCTTGCTCAGTGGCAACAGGCATGACTGCAGCACACGCAGATGTAGCAGGTTCCAAATTCTTAACATAATTTTTAGATAGCACCAATGTTTAATGTAGTGGCTTTCCCTTAATGCATAACCCCTTCTTTCCTCTAGCTTTAGTGGGTGGTTCTCCTCTGTCATTCTCTCTGTCCCTTGGCTTTTCCTCCTCAGTGCCTGGATGGGCACCGAGAATGAATTCTAAACTAAAAGGGACTGCTGAAGCTGCTACATCTACTCTTGGGGCAAGACAAGGAATACTTAGAGAAAAGACACTCATTCTTTTTCTATTTCTGAAATGAACATCAGAGCCTGGCAGCAATTTACTATGACAACTCGTCTTCCCCAGTGAAATGTGTTATTAGATGTCAAAAAAAGAGTCAATTTCCCCTGGAAGCAGCCATTTGGAAGAGTGCCATTTTAGATGAGAATTGCAATAGCAATTGCAATAGCAAGAGGAAGTTTTCCCTAGACTAGCTTCCCTCCTGAAACACCCATCCAGCGACAAATTCAGCCTATCTGTTCAGTTTAATGTGTGTCAAATTCAATCAGGTGCCACAGTGGCGGGTGTGATATCATTTCAAAATCTCTTATCCCCAGGAGATCTCCTTTTTTACAATCAAATAACACAGTGTTTTATTTTGAAAGCATGGCCCAGAGCTCAGTCTCAGTGTGCACCCCAAAGCACCAGTTCTGGAAACAATTTGTAGGCTCCACTACTGATCCCTCCAACAGGAAAAATCACTTTTACACTCTCGTTATAAACATCCATATAAGAAAACAGAACCCCCTAAGATCCAATTCTTAAGAAACAAAAACCAAACGTCACCCAATCGGATTGTTTTAAACAACCTAAAGGAGAAATTAAGATGACAGCTGGGTGCATCCAGAGTTAGTCAGATCCTGAAGGCAGCTCCTTTGGGGAACGGAGGAGCAATTTGTCAGATGACTACATTACAGCACGCCCCTTATACGCATTGCTACAAAAGGAAGGCACAAGGTTTTAACTGAAAATAACATAATACTCATAAGGCACCTGCATAGGGATCTTCAACGGGCCCAACCGAACCTCTCCAGAGCCTGCCCGAGGGCTCCGTTTCCCCGGGAGACCACCGGGACAGGGACGCGGAAGCCGCAGCCGAGGCCTACGGCAGGGCTAAAGGCCGAGGGAAGGGCAGGGGCGGGAGAGCTGCGGCCCCGTAACCGGGGCGGGGGGAGGAAGACGGGACCTTGGGCCTACCTCGGGCGGCGGGGGAGCAGCTCCCCCTCTCTAGAGTCCCGGGGAGAACGCCTCACCCCCACCGCCATACCCGGAGGGCCCCCACAGCCCCAGGGGCCCCAGCGGCCTCCCCCCCGCCGCCCCAACGGCTACGGACACCCCGGGGGGGAGGACTCGGGGACGCGGCCTGGGCCGCCCGCACCGCCGGGCGCGGGGGACGCGGCCTGCTTCCCCTCAGGGGAGCGAAGGGGACCCGGGCCCGGCGACAGGCCATTCCCCCGCGCCTGCGGTCTACGAACGGCTCTAGTTACCGGCGAGCAGGGACTTTACCGAACCCCAGGGGACCGCCGCTGCCGCTACCGCGTCGTCTCGATCCGCCGGGGCCGCCGCTCAGGCCGTTGCCGTCTCCGCTGCCAGCGTCAAAGATGGCGCCTAACATACGGGCAACCTCAGCTCGCCCGTTGCTAAGGTGGCGGCCGGAACGGCTTCACCAGGAGCCACTTCCGCCCGTTGGGGAGCGACGGGGGCGGGGCTCCGCGCGGGCGGCACCACCCACCGGGGGGGGTGCGACGGAAGTGGGGCGGGGGGCGACTGTAAACGGAGCGGGCGGCTTTTCTGCCTTTTCCTCCTTTTCCTCCTTTTCCTCCTCTGAGGGGTCCCGCCAGCGCCTGTGACCCCAGACAAAGCCCTCCATTGTGGGGCGAACAGCAGAGTGTCCCCCCGTCCCCTCTGCGGTGCCCAGTGCCCACCTCCCTGTGAGGTTGTGCACCCCTGCCCGCCATGGCAACAGGCCTCAGTCCCTGAGGCGTTTATCCCCTCCCTCACCCTGCTGGGCGCTGCCTCAGGGGTTACACTTTCCAAGCTAGGCGTTATTTTACCTTTTTAATCCCGTTTCCCCGGCCTGCAGGCACTTGTCCTTAGGACACCACAGGCTGGGCCTGGGCCTCAGGGAGGGGAGGCCTGGGCCTGGCTGGCAGCCATTTCTCTGTCAGGGCAGCATGGGCCTGCCCAGACTTCATGGTAGATCACGGACCTAAATCTGCCTCCCTCCGCTTTTCTCCTCTCTGTCCCAGTGTGCTGGTGTCTGGCTTTCCCCAGTTTGGCCCTGCGGCAGTGGTGAGCCGCCACCGGGCAGCAGGAGCATTGTCTTGTCCTCAGGGGAGGCTGGGGCACAGGCACAGTGGGTACAGCCATTTTCCCCATTAAATGACTAAAAGCCCTGTGATTTGTTTCTTTCTCTGCATCCAGCCTGGGCTGTATTAAAAAAAAAAAAAAAAAAAAAAAAAAAAAAAAATTGGGGTTGTTTTTT